TGGTGCACAGATTCGTGCACCAGTGGAGTCCCTCAGCCTGGCCTGCACTCTCTCACCATCTGGGACTCCTCAGGGGATGTCGGACTGCTGGTTTCAGCCCAGTCCTCGCAGGCCAGGCCAAGGGACCCCACCAGTGCATGAATCTGTGCACCGGGCCTCCAGTTGTAATATATGCATCACATATAACACTAGGAGGGGAAAACTAGCAAACTATAATTCAACTAGAGGCCTGGTGCACAAATTCTTACATGGGTGGGGTCTGGCTCACCCTGCCCCCAGTCAGGACGGGGACGCCAATTGGGGATGGAGTGGGCCAGGGGGAGGGGCCACAGGCAGTTGTCTGGCCATCCCCGTCCCCAATGGGGGGCGGGGTGACTGGGGGAAGGGGCCGCAGGAGGTGGGGGGCGTGGCAATCGGGCCTCAGATCGGGCTAGTTGGCCACTGCAGTGCATGTCATAGCGCCTGGTCATTCCACCATTCCAGTTGCTGGGCTTTTATTTTTACACACACACACACACACATATACATATACATATATATATGCTCTCTTATCACTTAGAATTTTTATTTTTCATTTACCCATTGATCTTTGAGGGTACTTAATATATTTTTAATCAATATTACTTGTATGCCTAAAAATGATGAAATAGCAATATAAATTGACTAAAGTGTTGCCCAAACTTCTTATGTTCAGAGTCCAAGTTCTTAACACTTTTTTAAAGTTTATGTCTGTGATTTTCTACGTGACATTGTCTTCTCTGCCATCAAGAACATTTCTTAAGAGTTCTCCATTATGTCTGGTATTTTCTTCTAAGCTCCTGGTTGCATTGTACAGGTTTTGTTGCTATCTCTTTCTTAATATTGCCAGAAAGTATTAACCACAGGTTTTCTGACAATAGCCAGGACTCTTATATTCCTTTCTTAGTTGGCTTGTTGACTAAAATGTCTTAGGGTTGCAGTTATCCAGATGTTTCATCAGGAAAAATAATCAAGTCCCAGATTTTTTTTGTGAGCTCATTTTTTAACAGTTCACACCTGTGCAGGTAGTGACAGTTGCATCATAACAGCTGCCTGGCCAGATGTAGGGTGCCATCTAATAAAAGAGAAACATGGTAATTAGTGTCACTCTGCTACCCTTCCCATTGGCTAATCCCCCTGTCACTCACAGAGTAGGGCCGAGTTATGCAAATTAACTGGCAGCCAAGATGGCGGCCGGCAGCCAGGCAGCTGATGCGAACAGGGAGGCTTGCTTGCTTCAGTGACGGAGA